CCCCTCCCCCCCCCCCCGCAAGCACCGGGCAGACCTGCCCTTATAGAGTCATTTCCTATTCTTACAGGCTTTTTCCTTGGGACGATGGGGGGGGGGCTGGCCGTGGGGAAGTCAGTCATCCAGAGAGGAAATCCTCTTCCTTCCACTGAATAACAGGAGGGGGGGCGGTGGTGGTGGCAGCCCCCCACCCCGAGCGAGCGAGCGCTTTGCCCCTGGGCTACCTCCCAGGGCAGGCTTGAGCCTTCCAGGGACCAGACCTCTCCCCCCCCACCCTGCACCCCCACCCCTTTTGATTGTTTTTACAAACGGGATGTTCTTCTTGGTCCCGTCCTGGCTGGGACAGTTGCCTTTTTAAAAAAAGGCTTGCGGGGGGGGGCGCAGGAGGGGCAGGGCTCTCTCTCGCTCTGTTGCGTGTGTATGCGTGGGGGGGGGAGGTGTAATGACTCCAGCTTTCTGTCCCATCTCATGGAAAGTGGGCCCTTCCCTCCCCAGCCAGGAGAGGAGAGGAGAGGATGCGCTTCCAGTGGGGAGGACGGGTTCCAGCGACCACAGCCTCTAGACACTAGACTTTTCCTGCGAAAACATTTTTTCTCCTTAAAAGGAAAATGACAGCTTGGCGCGAGGGAGGGACCGGCTGGCTGCTGGTGGGGCGGGGGGGGGACAGGCACGGCCGTGGTGGAGGCGCCACTGAGCAAGGGGGGGGACGACTCCTTGGTGCCCCATCTGGCTGGCCAGAAGCAACTCAAAGTAGGGCCCCCATCCCGGCCATTGGGGCCTAGTAGGACTCGGAAACGGGACAGCTCCATGGATGCTCCCGAGGCCCCTCTGGGGAGGGGTCGATTTTGTCCAGGGCGTTAACAAGCCTTCTCTCTCCCCCCCCCCGGCCCAGACCAGGCCTTCGGCTGTGGCCCTTCTTCCTTCTTCCTCCAGTGCTGACCAGAGCAGCCCCTGCCCTGCGTGTGTGTGTGTGTGGGGGGGAGCTCTTTAGCAGCTGCTTGTCTTCGGTGGAAACCAGCAAAGCGCTGGGATCAGGACCATTGCCTGCCGGCCGGCCCAAATCACTTCCTGCCCCTTGCGGGGAAGCGCGTTCGTCCCTTTTGCCAAAGGGAAGCTGAGGGGGGCCCGGCTGCTTTTCCCCTAAGGAGGCACTCTTGCTTGTCGCTTGGGGGGGGGCAGTGCCTGCAGCATTTGTGCCCCATTGTGTGCCCTCAGACACCCCAGGAGGGTTGGAAGTGGGCGGGGGGGGGCTCTTGCCCCTCTGCAGCCCCTGATGTCCTCATGGGGCCCATCTGTGGAGTAGCCGTTGAACCCACGAAGGGGATCCTCCAGCATCACCCACTGGGGAAAGAGCAGCATCCTGGCTGCCCCCCCTGCCGCCCCCCCCGCCCTGAAAGGCGGTCTTGGGCAGGGCCCACATGGCAAGACGGACTCCCTGCCTTTGACCGGCTGGAGTCAGATTCTCCTCCTCCACTTTGGCCCCCTCAGCAGAGGGAGGAAGCCGCAGGGAAGCCCCCGCCCCCACCCCCAGTCCAAGGAAGGCAGGTGGCTGGCAGAGGTGAGGTCCGCTCGGCTGGGGAGCGCAGGTGTTGCCGAAGCCTCCCCTGCGTGTTCTCCTCCTCCTGGGGCTTGCCAGGGGAGGAGGAGTTCTCCTCGCCATCGGGAGCCTCCTCCACCCTCCCAGGGCGGCTGCGCTCCTTCCTGGTGCCTGCCGGGGGAGAGGGGTGGGCGGCCTTTGCATGCCCGCACCCTCAACGATGCAAGGCGTCCGGGTGGAGGGCTTGTGGGCCCAGATTCAGCAGAAAAGGTCTCTGATTCCCTCGGGGTTCCACCTGCCCCAGCATGAGGTGAGCACCCCACGGCAGCCCCTTGAACTCTGCCTGGATGGAGGGATGGAGGGATGGATGGATGGATGGATGGATGGATGGATGGATGGATGGAAGGACGGACAGGACCATCCCTCCCACCCACCCCGTTCCATTCTGGACTCCTCTTGCCTTGAAGTGCAGAGTGGGAGGATGAGGGGAGGGATCCTGCCCGCTTAGATCAGTGATAGTCAAGCCCTGAGGAGTGCCTGCTGCTGCACCGGAGGGGAGAGGCAGGGTCCGGCTGCAGCCGAGGGGGTGGCCCTTTTCCGGACCCTCCTCGCTGCCTCTTTCCGAGGGGGCAGGAGGAGCCCCTCTTGCTCCTGTTCTCGCTGCCCCTCTCTCGGGCCCTGGCGCAGGCAGGGGTGAGGTGCTCCTGAGGAAGAGCCCCCTCCTCCTCCTCCTCCTCCTCCTCTTTTCTCTGGCTGTGATGACTCTGGCTTAGTTGGGGGGAGGGGGTGCCAGAGGCTTTGCTGGCCCTATAGCTGCCCTGGGGTGCCCCCTCGCCCCCTTCCTCCTCCCAACCCCTGTAGACGCAAACCCTCTGTGTGTCCCCCCCCCTTGTAGGCAGTTGGAGGTGAGGGAGCCCGGCACACCATGGAGAGCGCCCTGACGGCCCGGGACCGGGTGGGGGTCCAAGACTTTGTCCTGCTGGAGAACTTCACCAGCGAGGCCGCCTTCATCGAGAACCTGCGCAAGCGCTTCAAGGAGAACCTGATCTATGTGAGTACGGAGGGGGGGGGCGGAGCGGGTGGATGATCGAGGGCTGCCCTCCGGAGGCTGACGGCCGACAGATCCCACCAGGCCTGTGGCCGGCCCCCCCGGGGGACACGAAGGCGGGGCCTGTCAAGAGGGGCTCCAGGGAAGGGTCCCCGGGGGTCCTGCTCTGCCTCGCCGCCCTGTTTGAAAAGGCCCCTCGACCTCCTGGCCCCCCCCTTCCCTCTCCCCCCTCCCTCAGACCTACATCGGCTCCGTCCTGGTCTCTGTCAACCCCTACAAAGAGCTGGAAATCTACAGCAAGCAGCACATGGACCGCTATCGGGGCGTCAGCTTCTACGAAGTCCCTCCTCACCTGTGAGTGGCCTGTTTGGACCGGGGGGGGGGCTGTGTGCACGGGGGGGGGTTGCATGCCATCCCCCCCCCAGGACTCTGGGGCCCTGAGCCTCCCTCCCTCCCTCCCTTTTTTCTCCGCCTTTTTGCCCAGCGCTTCCTGGGTGGCTGAGAGACCCGAAGCCTCTCGCCGCCCGTTTGTTTGTGTCGCTGGGTGGACCTTCTGCGTTTAAAAGAGAGACGTCTTGTGGGGGGAGGCTGAGGGTGGGTGTTGCCTCCTCTCTCCCCCCCATCCCTCTCGCTCTCTCACTCACTCACGTGAGCCCCATGGGAGTGTGTGCGTGGCTCCCCCCAAGGACCCTGTGAGGCGGGCCAGGCGGAAGAGGATTAGTCCAGAGTCCGCCAGAGAGCTGCCTTCGTTCGTTTGGACCGGGGCTTCCGGAGTCCTCCTCTTCCACACGCAGTCCCAGGCCTTTGCGAGGGGGGGGTTGTCAGATGAGACACATCCCCCCCCCAGGGCTGAGCTTGTGCTTGACAGCGGGCTGAGGAGGGGGCGGCCGGCACGCCGCCGTTCACCCTTTGCCCCTCCTGCCAGGTACGCCATCGCGGACAACGCCTACCGCTCGCTGCGCACGGAGAGGCGCGACCAGTGCATCCTCATCTCTGGGGAGAGCGGGGCGGGCAAGACGGAGGCCACCAAGAAGGTCCTCCAGTACTACGCGGTCACGTGCCCGGCCAGCGAGCAGGTGGAGACCGTGAAGGACCGCCTCCTGCAGTCCAACCCTGTCCTCGAGGTGGGTGCTTTGCAGTCGGGGGGTGGGGGTGGGGGGTCTTCATCGTGTGGGGCAATAAACTACCCCTCCCCATAGCCAGCTGTCCCTCTGCGGTGCCCACCAGGCAGCCCTCTGCCCGTCGCCTGGTGGGGGGAGGAGGTGGGGGGGCAGAGAAGGCGGCCGGGAAGGGAGACGGCTCACCGACAGGCCTTCCTCCTCTCCTCTCCTCTCCGGCCAGGCCTTTGGGAACGCCAAGACCCTGAGGAACGACAACTCCAGCCGTTTTGGGAAGTACATGGACGTCCAGTTTGACTACAAGGTCTGTGTCCTGGGTGGGGGGCTGGGGGGGGGAGAAAGACAAGAGGTGCTCTAGGGTCTGGCTGAAAGAAACCCCCCCACACACACTCACACACACACACTCAGCTCTGGCCCTGAGTGGAGAGGAGGCTGCCCCTCTGCTGGCCAGCATTCCCTCTCTCCCCCTCCCCTTGGATCATCATCCTCCCCATCCCTGGTGCGCCTCTTTCCCCCCCTCCCCCACCCCCGCGGCTGCTCTCCTGGAAGGAGTTTGGAAATGCAGGCCTGACCCCTGGTGGGCACTGGGTGGCCATTCAGAGGCGCGCATGTCGCAGGCTTGACGGTTGGGTGGGGGCTTCAGTGGTGTGTGTGTCCCCCCACAGCACCCC